CATAAATACTTTAAAGAAAGAGAAGAATAACTCTTTCCGAGTTTTACGAAAATTAGCAAGAGACGGGTATTCGTGCCATGACTGACATTTGCTTGTGAGTATGTTTATAGGCAACGACTTTCCATATGATTGAGTTGGATGTTCATTCCTAGATTCTGATCTACACTATTCTGTGAACGTCAATTGATTTGGAATATGGGTTAAGGGCAACAATCCAGATTGACTCAGACATTGAGAATGAACATGGGACATCAGATAATACACATGCTTATCTCACTATGATTAGCGAATGTGTAGGTCATGTCAGATGTCGCTATAAACTAAATAAGCTTTCTTTCCCCGTTTGAGCCGATTTGATTGACCACATTACTCTAATTCTTATCATTGCAGTGTATTATTCATTTAAAATTTTATTTATGAGGGATTTTCCTCTTTAGATATTGCATGTTGCTATCGACACTCACACTGGCCAAAGGGCGGAAGACAATTCAAAAGGAATTTAACCCTTGTGTTGAGGACAATGTTAGTGAAATAATGGGCAAGAACTCTGGACGTGGAACACTCGAATCGCTTAAAATTGTGCGATCGAGCTTCATTTGCTGGTACTACACTTCGACAATTCTACTTTCATAAGTGCAGGTTGAGCGTGAATGGCGTTGCTAGTCTCGATTAGAACGAGAGAGTTCAACGGCTAAATTTTGCCAAACTGTGCAGTGTGCTCTGGTCTGAAATTTGTCTAGCAAAGTAAAGTTGTGACCCCGAATTAATAGCTATTGCGTAAGGATTAGATACACTTTACGTGAAGAACAAAGGAAGTAATATTATGGGGAAAGAATGAGAGGCAAGTTATATAACAAGAAGAGCGTGTTCATTCTCAGTGACGAAAGCCTTTTTAATGAGTTCGAGGATTATAGTCCTGACGAGGATTTCCTATCTCCTAACTAAGTTTCTCCAAGACGGAGATCAACCAGCGCTCACCTGCGTACTCCTAGCTTGCTTACCTCAAACGCGAGCATATTAAGACGGCGTTTGGTTGCTCATCGAGAGGGGCTGCTTCAAGTCGAGCATGTCTGAGGGTATTTTATGTGCTCAACTGACATCTTCTATAGTGGAGTTAGAACTGCTTCCCGTAGCACGCAAGTTGTACTTACTGAGAGTAGATATGTCTGTGTATTATTAACGGTGCAGTGTTTAAAGAGATCGAATGCAGTTACTTATTTCATATCAAAAGACATATCCCCTGACAGGTGAATGAGAATCGTGCATGATTTTCTCGGAAGTAAGCAATAAATTATGTAATACAACGAAGTATTGTTTCTTACACCACTGTAGTTAACATGGGGGAATTTTGAGCTACGATTGATTGAGTGCTCGTTTCCCTTGCGTGGCAGTGAGAAATGACTTTCAACAACACTATGCACAACTCGTGGTCTCAAGTCTGTCTAAGTTGTATCAGTATGGCACTCAAAAGGGAACTTGCAGTCTGAGAAGTCATATATACCGCTTAGGGTTGGCTTAACGAGAGTGTTGTTTCAAGTTTATGTGATTCTCTATGGATACTTTGTGCAATGCACAAATGAGATACATTACAACATGACCCTTGTGATAAACGGTGTCTGAGCAATCTGTCAAGTATTTGCAAGTTTGGATTTGATAAGATGAGAGTCAGTTGGTCACCGCCGGCTCGTACCAGTGAGGAGATACTTGGTGAAAACAGTATATGATATACTAGGCTAGGCAAAATGGTTACCTATTGACAATCGATCAGGCTGACCATGACCCATAGTCATTACAACACCTGATGGTTATCAAACATCTGAGGCAACATCCGTGATCCTGTACCAATGCTCGTCGTCACCCAGTCATTCCTTAATCGTTAGACAAATCCGTGGTAGCCGAACAATAATAGCAAGGGATGACAGTCGGTGAACACTTCATCAGTAGAATCAACACTCAGAATCTGTTTGTCGGGTGATATTCAATGGTTAGTCGTGAGTATTCGGTGGGTCCATTAAAGATTAATACCTTTCCTCTTCCCACAAAGCCTTACCAAGGTTGTTAACCATTTCCCTACCTTCCTTGCTCTTAGAAGGCTGGTGAGTAGAGAAAAGAAAGAGAGCATGAAGGACCAAGAGGTTCTAGTGACGAAGTACATGTTTGACAAAGATAAGAAGGAGGGGTGGGAAGAAGAGATCTGTCATGATATGGATTATCATAAGTGGGTTCAGAGAGAACATGCTTCCGGATGGTCGAAGAAGATAAGTGTATTGAATATGCATTTTATTTTTATGAACACAATGACAAGTTGCACAACATTAGCTCGTCACAAGAGACGATGAAGCAGGCCAGAGCAAGGCTTATGTGAGCGCAAAGGTGCCCAGACTTTTCTCACGAAATCCCTACCAGCATCCCAATCAGCAAATGCAACTTATTAATCTGCAATTTTTTCAGTGTTTCATCATCAAGTGATCAGTATCTAGTAGATTGTCAGTTCAACAACATTCCATCATCGGAAGAGTTATCAGAAAACGTCAGTCGAAACCAATCGTCATCCGAACGTCCTCTTTCATCCTTGAGGACAATACCAGTCAGACTGTAATCATATAAAGACACCAACATTCACCTCCACATATGAGCACGATTCAATCTTTCTACGTTAGTAAATCAGTCTTGGTCAATCTTAACAAGATAGCTCGCAGGGATGTTGTCCCGTATCAGTATGTCAATGCGAGTGGTTTCAGACAATGAGATTTGCCAATCTTTGTTATTCTCACCGAATTTGTAGCAAGTATTATCCAAAATCTGCGACTTTATGTAAAGAAAGGCAAATAGACACATGAGCACTTTGACCCGGTCTGCATCGCAGCGGCCAAGTATCTTGAGGAGAAAGAGAAAGAGCTAGATGAGAGTGGTACCAAGCTGATCTATAGCTTTAGACCCAAGCTCTATTCTGACTACCCTAGGCCTCACAGATGACTCTTGATGGGGTGACTTGGTAAATTTGGCCAAGAGGTATACCTCTTCTACCGAGATCGATTTTGAGGCAATGATTGAACCATCGGAGTTCAAACATCTCAGACGAGGGACTTTCTCACAACCGTATCTTCCTATTCTGTGGGAAGAATTTTGTGTCATAGTTGACTTTCGTATCATGGGCCTTGGATGGAAGTGTTCGGAACTTGCAAGCTTTAGGTGACTCTATATCCAAAGGCCACAATCTCAAGAGGTACATAAACATGGCTTAACGCATAAGACACGCATAGTCAAATGAGAGATTGACGATGAGGCTCTAGAGGGATAAGTGAGGACTCTTGACGGGTGCTGACCGTGTTTATTAATCTGCACCTTTTGAGATTGTTATGAGTTCCACTTTCCCCTCATTTATTTTGTCTCCGTCTTGAGTCGATCAATCATGCTTTATTTGCATTGACTTTGCTTGATGATTATACTTATTGATGATCTTGTCACAATTTTCAAAATTATAAAATTAGTTGAATTCATACATGCATGGCACACCAAGACTTCATAATTCTCATTTGCATGATCTTTGCTGTTCCGAATCAAAATAAAAGATTCCTAAGACCGGGGACCGACGAAGACCGCAATTGAAGTGTCTCGCTCGAAACTGAGCGCACACAACAGGAAGGGATTTGCATTATTTTATTTATTTATTTATTGTCACCATCATTAAAATCCTGTGTGACAGTCTGCTGGCTTTGTGGTCGCTTGAAAAGGTCTGTTGGGAAAAAGTGCGACAACGTGCCCATCACTCCGACGTAAATACCTACCTAATGTACCATCTCAGGTGCAACTTGTATGAAGTGAAAAAAAACGCGCGAATACCCTTGCAAGGATATTCACGCCTACAACGGAACGAAGCAAGCATGCTTCCCCTTATCGCAAAGGAAGGGGGGGGGGGGGGGGGGGGGGGGGGGGGGGGGGGGGGGGGGGGGGGGGGGGGAAGGAGTTTTGAGGAAGGGGGAGTGGATGAGGGGGCAAGAAGGCTGGTGGCAACGGGAGAAGCATAAATGATATAGACACAGGAGATAAATCAGGCGATATGGAGATTGGGGATGGTGCGGATAGTAGGCACAAATCCTTGGGTGGCGTGTCGGAACATCTGCGGGATCCGGGGACAACTTCACGACAACAACGCATGCAGGTAGGAGAGCACCTAGCGGGTCGGACGAGGCTGAAGCGCCCCCCTTCTGAATCTTTTTGCTTGTGCTAGCTTGGAATGAGAAGTTAAAGTTCCTCACAACTATGCAAGAAAGTCAGAATTTGTTCATCTCGCATATCGCAAAATATAATGAACCGGATATATGTGCGGTCATCGCTGAGACGCAAAAATGGATGGGCTTGGGCTGTAGATTGAGAAAGTGGCCGGAAGTGCAATGGATCAAAATACCAAAAACACTGGTGATGGGTGGTGAAGTATTTCTTATCTTTGTCTTCATGGATGCAAAGGAAGTGAAAAGTGATCTGCAATTGGTCAATATGCCTGGAGCACGGTGGATTCCCTAGAGACTGTCATCAAATACAAAAGGATCAATGACCCTTACGACCCACTTGTTTGGGGAATGGAACGCCGCCTTGCTGCACGAAGTGAATTTCCGCATGTCGCCTCAATTCAAACTCTTCAAATCCAGTTTTGCCGGCTTGATGCTGCAGAAATGGGCAAAGTAGAACTACCCACCGGGTTTTTTTAACCCCTTTCTATCTGTTTGTATTTCTCTTCCTTCTTTTACCTTGCCTTCTTTCCTTTACCATCTCTTCTTATGTTCTTTCTTGCAAATAAGTCTTTCCTTTTTAAGAATGCTATAAATAATTCTTTACCTACCCTGTGGGGAACTCCTATAGGTTTTTCCCTCTTCTAGCGCTTTCGGTGTGGACTCAACGTAAATGGACAAATTTAAAATACTCACACAGAATATTAGAGGGTTGGGAACGCGGCAGATTGTGCACAAACGGTGTCTGATAAAATCAGCAGCAAGAAACTATGGAGCATTGGTCGTTTGTTTACAGAAAACAAGCTAGATAGAAAAGCGACAAATGCACAATTTGCCTGGTGGAGAGGGGCACAGTTCTGGGCACCTGCCAGAGGATCAAAGGGGGGAGCAGCTGTTCTTTTCTCGCCGACAATGAAAGTAGTTTTCAAAGACTATTTCTGGGACTGTGATGGTAAATGGCTTTGGGTAGTCTTTGAGATGGACAACCGTTTTTTTTTTTTGAGCTACCGGGGCCGTTACCCGGCTTTGGCCCTCGAATATCAATGTTGGAGCAACGCTGGCCGGAGCCGGAGCCAGGTGGCACAACTCTGTGACCTAGCTTAGTGGGGGCGTGAGGCCTGGTAGAGAGATTTGGGAGGCTGTTTGCGGGGACAGTCTCAATGGTCATTGGGGGTCGTAACTGGAGCAATGCTGGCCGGTGTTGGAGCACGGTGGTGCAACTCTATAACCTAACCTGATGGGAGCATGAGGCCTGGAAAAGCTTCGGTTCGTGCTGAAAACAACCATGCTGGTTGTGGTCGTAGGTGGATTGAATAAGTTCCACCTATCTGATTGGCTTTTTGACACATATATTTTAGTGACTTGGTAGAGAGTAGTGGTCCATGAATGTTTTTGAGTTTTCCCTTTTCTTCAGTTGTTGACTTGGCTTGACCCTCCTACCCCCCTTCTGCATGCAATTCTGTGGTTACTTGCCTGCCGTCCAAGCTCCTTGCCTGCCCTCTGAACTCCTTGCCTGCCATCCGAACTCCTCGCCTGCCGTCCGCCCGAACGTCTTGCCTGCAGTCCCCACCGACTTGGCTTGACCTTCCTTTTTTTTTTTTTTTTTTTTTTTTATATATATTAAACGGGCCCAGTGCCCAAGGCTGATATTACCAATACAAAGATTGAGGCCCGGGTCCTCACAGTCTACCCGGAGTGACCGAACAGAACATGCTGAGAACCGGGCTCAGTTTACCCGCCTTCTGCATGCAATTTTGTGGTTACTTGCCTGCCGTCCAAGCTCCTTGCCTGCCCTCTGAACTCCTTGCCTCGCCTGCCGTCCGCCCAAACGTCTKGCCTGCAGTCCCACAGCTTCTCACCGACCTCTCGTGAAAGGTGAGGTGAAAAGGAGTTCGCATCTTATCGATATTTTAAGGCCAAGAAATAAATAGTAAAGAGCTACTAAAAATGTTTATCGACTGGCTGTTGCACTCCACAAACAGCCAATTGATTATGGGCCTTTTTTCTACCAACCCTAGCCTGATCAGTGCTTCCACAAACATCAGCCACCAACTTACCACAACTTGAGCCCGTCAACACGGCCCCAGCCTTGCAGAAAACGTTCCGTCGCCGACTCCAAAAATTTTGCGCTGCGGACCTACCAGACCACAATGACTGCTGATGTCAACCAACAAAGAAAAGAAGTGCGCAGTTCGGCAAAGCTTGGCACGCAGAGAAGCGCCCCTGGGCCCCCCGGAACCGGGTGTACTGGTGGTTTATGAAATCAGAAGCAAAGAATTTAATGGCAATGTATGCCAATTTACCCCACAGACTTCGCTTCTATGCAGCGTAGAAAAGGTCCGAATGTGGTAGGATTGTTTGGGTTATTACAACCTTCAGCAGATGGTTTGAAATTAATGATAAAAGAGCGTATTCTACCAAGTAGCGCTAATTTATTCATCTTTATAATGGCTCCAGTCATTACATTTATGTTAAGTTTAGTTGCTTGGAAAGAAGAAAAAAATTCCGAGAGACAGCCTCATTCACTTCAGTCGGCATCTACTCTCTCTCTCTCTCCCCCCCTCTCTCTCTCTCTCTCACACACACACACACACACACACACACACACACACACACACACACACACACACACACATGCATCCACCCTTCATCCCACCCCCTCTCCTTTCCGCCCTCTCAGTTTCCCTGTCCTCGCTGTCTTGCTAAGATGCACACGATGGCAACACCCAATAACTCTCTGAATTTCTGAAACATTCTCTCTAATTTTCCKGTGCGTTACRTCTCTGTTCCCAAGGGGGACATCCACCAGCCCACTCCATCTTCATGTCCGTAAGAATTCCAGGAGTCCTCAGCTTCCATTACAGAACAGGAACGCTGATCTCCCYTCCAATTCAATTGCCATGCCGCCAACCACAACAAATAGGATGCCACTTGATGTTTTGAGTTCAAGATATGTGGTGCAGGGTCCCTTGGGTTGCATATACTGAACACACCTGCCATTGCGGCAAGGTACACATTAGACCATCCCTCCACCAGGGCACCATGCATATGCAATGAGCATGCTATGTAMCCCTAGTGGTCCCCTACCATCACCAAGCGCTCTGAGCAGCGCTGGGTTTACCACCAAGCGGTGAAGCTACCACTTCCACAGTCCATAGGTGCTGGCGATTATTGTCTGCCGCTTTCGTTTGAGTTCAATTCTGCTCACTCCAGGGCACACGCCAGCACACTCGACCCCTTCTTTCAGCTGGCGCAGGAGCTCTGCTCTGCCTCCTCTCTGAGGGTACACAATTCCAAAAATTCCAGATGTCTGCAAACGAACAAAAGCRGCAAACCCAAAAATATGACCCACAATTAAAAAATTAGTAAGTTACCTGGTTCTGAAGCGGCGGGTCAAATCGCAAACCCAAACAAAGTTTAACAAAAAAMAAAAAAGAGCTTAACAAACATTCGTTAAAATTTTAACGATACAGAAGATTCACATGGCCCCTGTGCAAGGGTGACACACATACACTGAGAAATGCTCTACAGAGCTATAGGCTACTGGCAGGGCGGCCASGGCAGGGTCGACCAGGCACGGGGCACACATGGAGGGCCTGGCCAGGTCACCCRGGTGGATGCGGACAAAATTGGCCAACGGGCCAATCCGGCGCGGTAGGATGCAAGGAAATATTGAGTGCGCCCAGGTCGCAGAGATCTCGATTGCASGGCGGCTCCAACCCTGCCACACCATCATCTCAAGCTGGCCCAGGCCAAGGGTGTGAGCTACACGTGYGTGGTATAATTCCTTGCATCGGAGGAGTGGCAGCATCTTGAAATCCGTATTGCCAAGGCTCTGCAGCGTCCATATAAGCAACCTGAAATAACCATTCGTTTTTCATTTTGTATTGTATGTTCTCCACCGCATCCTCCTACGAGGTAGGCACCCCCAAATTAGTGCTGATTGGGCGGACCGTGATACGCAATCGGTCATGACCGACATCGGGAACGCAACGTCCGACCGCGGAATTGCGTTGGCTATTCTATACCGGAAAGCTTTCRTGTCGGGTTCKTTATCCTCACCAGGTTCAGCATCGTCTCCCCTACAGTGTCTTATTGGCCGCCTGACCTGATGGTTGATTGCCTTTGATTCAAACCATCTTGTTCTTCATCTACTTCTCTCCTTCTACTTCTCCTTCTACTTCTCCTTCTACTTCTCCGTCTACTTCTCCTTCTACTTCTCCTTCTACTTCTCCTTCTACTTCTCCTTCTACTTCTCCTTCTCCTTCTACTTACCTTTTCATCTTCATCTTCTTTTCCGACACTTCTTCCAAGTTTCGTTTTTCTTTGTTGTTTTCTTCTYCTCCTATGTTTCCTATCTAGTCAGAATGCTCGAGTTGGGATGAACAGGGGCATTCTGGACCGGATAGTTTGGTCCTCCTCAACATAATTGGCTAGTATTTATGCCCGTCACCTTTCTTTTCCGCCTTTGGAAAAAACGACTAAGGTTATTGTCTATCYGACTTTATCAGCAGCTACATATGTCTGGTAGTCATTCGTCACCCAAAACTTGACAGCCTTCATCCACATCAACCAATTCATTATGTATAATGGTAGGGACTGCTAGGCAGTACATTACCCCATTGCATGATATACATTGCAGCGCATCAGAGAGGCCTGCTATTACAAGGCACCTATCATGGACATGCAACTTTCACAAGCAGGCACTGCACTAGAAAAGAACAATACTTAGGAAGGGATGGTTTTGATGGTTGTCACAAAATTCTGATCATTTGCCACCACACAGCAGTGAAAGCCTGACCATACCTAGGAAACAAACAATACCTNAGAGAGAGAGAGAGAGAGAGAGAGAGAGAGAGAGAGAGAGAGAGAGAGAGAGAGAGCTGCTTACCTAACTGCAGCGCAGTTCTGATCACCTCCCTCTTAAGTTAGCGGTCATCTGAGGCATACTATCAATGGTGAAACTTGGGACCTCTCCATTTGGATCCTCTAAGAGCTGGTTCTCCGAGTAGAGCCGTGCACCATTTCCAGGGCCCTTTGCCTCAGGCTTCTTTCCGCCAGATGCCTGGAAGAGATGTCGTCCAAATACGTCCACAGTCGTCGGGCCGTCCTCYGCAACSGCCTCCTTGTTCGCTACCTTCTTYGCCACTTCCAACGCATTCAGCACGTCCTTCATTGTAGGACGTTGATCCCAAGTGGGACGTGTGCACCATAGCCCAAGTTCCACAATCCGGCACATGGTGTCGTAAGGGTACTGACCTTTGAGTGCCGGATCGATGACAGCCTCCAGTCCTCCCTTTGTGTATTCGTTCTCGGCCTGAACACAGCAATGCCACTCAATTCACTGAGTCAAACTGTTCTGATGACGGACCTTGAGSTACTGTCTTCACCTGTATAGAACGGCCGGTCACTATTGCTGTATTTCAGTCCAGATACAGTGATAATGACTGGGCGCTCTATTCGGGTGAAAACAGTATCGCTTCAATCTACTCCGTGAGGAAGTTGCTCCAGACAGTGCCATTACCACTTTGAAAATGAGATCCCTCCACCCCCAACAACCCCTCCCCCCGAAAAAAMAAACAAACMAACAGAAGGATCCAAACATGGACGGATTGATCGTACAGTTATGGGGTGATGGCATCCAGCCCCTGGTCATGCATTAAAATAAAATAAAAGAAAAAAAAGACACCGTGTGCCTGTGTGTCCAATGAAACATTCGGCCAGCTGGTTCTTCTTTTCYTCTGGGCATGGGTAGGAGTGAGGGAAGGGGCATGGGGCGGGGGATGAAAAGGGCGGAAAGGGTTACAAATGTGCTCACGACCGAGAACATGAGGTTGGAAACCAGTGCTGGTATCTGCTGCCACTCAGCTAAGCACTGAACCCGACACCGACCCAACAGTCCAATCGGCAAACCAAACACTGACTCAACGGTGCAATCTGGGATTCTTATGGGAAGAGTACATGCCTTGCGCTTCAAAAACAATTACGCCGCGACAAAGGTAAAGACCCAGG